TGCAATCTTCTACGGGGAGAAAACAGGGCCAGGCAACTCCTCCCTGGGGTGTGTGTGCGTTTCTGGGAACAGCTGATGGCGTCCACGGCAGTCAAGCGGCAGAAAAAATACTCAGCTCTCAGTGCGAAGTGGCCAGCACAACCCTACCTCTCCAGAACTTCCAAGGCCTGCTCCAGCAAAGAGCGGGGCTCCAGGCCCTGGGCAGGAGCCAGCAAAGGGAGGATTTTTCTTTCAAATCACTCTGGCCTCATAGCGAAAAGGTGGTTTTGCTGCTTTTGCGAGATGCAAAACAGATCGGAGGCCTTCAGGAGAGCTTCTGTATTATTGATACAGAAGCTGAAATCTTGGTCATTGATCCTCTGATCTGAGGCATGGCCAAAAACATCACCTGCAGCCCTCTCCACCTCCCACTCGCCCACGCACCCCACGCAGCCTTTGGCGCTGGAGAAGAGACATTTAAAAAAAAAACACCTGTCCTCACCTGTTCTCTCGTCGGCCTACTTCACCTCCTACCAACTTCACCAGGTGCCTAACACTCAGCTAGGAGTGGGGAGAGGGAGATGACAAAGCAGACAACCGCGCTCTTTGTCTGAGGGACACTCATCCAGAAAACAAACAAAAACCCCCACTGGACAGGAGAGCATAACCCATCAACCTCACATCCCCCGCCACACAGTTTCTGGCCTCCTGGAAAGCAGGGCCTAGGGCTGAATTCTAAGGTCCCTTTTTCTGTTTCAGCTTTTCTCTGAAGGTTTGATAGGTGCCATCTCGGTAGAACCAATACCTTTTCAAGTTGTTCAAGAGGTCGGCCACTGGGAAGGACACTAAATGCAATGAATGATGTTTTCACATGTTCAGCCCACTCTCCCTGGGAGAGCCAAGTCTCTCTCACACACAGACCAAGCACCAGCACTCCGACTATTCCACTATTTTTGGTCCCAACAAGGGAGTCCGCTGGCAAGTGTGGAGAAACCTTGAGGACATTATGCTACGTGAAATAAACCAGACACAATAGGACAAATATTGTAGAATCCACTGACATGAGGCCCCTGGAATAGTCAAGTCTATAGAGACGGAAAAGTAGAGCAGGGGTTGCAGGGACTTGGGGAGTTAGTTTAATGGGGACGGAGTTTCACTTCCAGAGTGGATGGTAGCGGTGGTTATGCAACAAGGGGAGTGAACTTGATGCCACTGAACTGTACCCTTAAAAATGGTTAAAATGGTAAAATTTTTGGTTATGTATATTTTACGATTTAAAAACAAAACACAGCGACTGCTTCTGAAATCAGGGACCACCAAGGAGAAGAGCCTGCCAGTTGCTGGGCCTAAAAGGACCGCAGGTGACAGCTGATGGGTGAGCCCCTCCCTCCCCTCATTCGGATTTCACCTGTCCTCGAAGGGGCTGCCTGCCAGGCCCCAAAAGTCTCTGTCCCTCCCATGCATCCTGAGCACACAGATGTAATTTTTCCCCCAAATCATGTCAGACCTTCTCCAAAAACTTCAGTAGCTTTTCAGCCCAGAGTCTCCCAAAGGAACTGAAGCTACTTCCTGAACAGGCCTTTAAATTTTTCCAACTTCATGTCTTTGCCTCCAATGAGAATGTTCCTTTTCCCGATACCCACCCCGTTTCTGCCTGACAAATCTTAGGCGTGTTAAGTAGAAACTTTCTGCAAGAGCAGTTTGGCAGCACGGATCAGAATGTAAATGTGCATGCCACTTGACACCAGTGTTACGTCTAGGAATTTACCCTAAGGAGGTAGGACAAGATAAATACTTAAGAATGTTTATAATTGTGTAAAAAAAAAAAATAGAAGCAACTAGTCACCAACTGAAGGGTGGTTCATTATGAGTCCTAAATTCAAGACCACATTGGTGCCCAGCTGGAACTGATCAGTGGTTGAACCAGGAGGTCAAGGTTTGATTACCGGTCAGGGCACACGGCCGAGCTTGATCCCCAGTGGGGGCCGTGCAGGAGGCAGCTGACTGATGTTTCTCTCTCATCTGCACGTTACCTCGCTGATCTGGAACACAGCACATCGTCCCCAAACTCGTTGGACCACTGAACTCTTTAGGATCCTGCAGAAAACTTCTCTAGGAAAACCGGTCCTAAATGAAAAGGGTCTATCTCCTGAGCTCCCACCGCAATTTTTCGCTCAAAACCATCAAGTCCTAGAAGTCCCATCAATCACAGTCTCTGTTGAATTAAAATTCCACTCTCCACATCACCTGTTTCACTTTAGGGAGGAGGCGTCTTGTAAAACCTGTTTTGGAGTCAACGCCCCACTCCTGCTGCAGGCTGAGGACAGCTTCCAGGTAACAGCTTCCAGGTGACCTTCATTGTAGGTGCTAGAGCTCGATTTTGCCTCATTAGGCTGT